CAAACTTACCACAACAACCACAGAACAACAACCACGGGAAATGCTGAGCTGGTAGTATCATTTCACCTAAAATCTCCGGGTCTTTGTGACTAACTTTTTTCTTTACCAGGACCAAGTTTTTACTGTTACTGTGAAATTCTTAGAAAGTCTCAAACGTCTACAATAGTTTTTTCCAGGATTTCAAAGGATCTAATTGCCCTCATGTACGGAAACTCATGTACGGGTTCATCTACGTCAGAGTTCAATTTGGTTTTTGTTTGTTTTTTTCAATCACCCGTTAACCACAAGTGCGTTGCATGTCCTATGGAGGAGAAGAAGACAGTGTTTTACTCCAAGTATCTCTGTTGAACTGAAAAACTTTGACTAACACTTTGCAGCTTTGACTTTTAGTGGGCAGCACTGTGTGTAATTTTAAAATGACTGAAAGGCTTTAGACTGCAGCTGTCATGCGTCACATGTATTTAGAGTAAGCTGTCAAAATAGCACATGAATTATGAGCATATATAAAGTATATTTAAATGAGCTGTGACAGATCTGTGGAAGTAATATTCACAAAAAAGACGTACAACAAAACGCAAAACACATTTAAATGAGTCTATAAAATGATTGTGTTTCGTGACACTGGTCGGCCCCTCGTTTGTACCCCAATCATTCTAACATCATTTCCTGTTGCTCGTGCTGTCTTTGACAGCAGCTGCACAGAGACCTGTAATCACGCTAACATATTATTTATCCAACATATTGGATAAGAAGTGGTTAAATTGGTTGGGTGATCTCTAAGAGCACTTAGAGATCACCCAACCAATTTGTACCACACAGTAGGACATATTATTATTTTTTATTAAAATATCACAAACAGTTGGAGAGATCAGCACTAATTAGGGGAGTTACGCCCATATTGACACCTGTTAATCAAAGTATGTATGCCCCTAACTCCAGTCTACAATTCTCATAAAGGTGGCAGCTTTCCATAAACATGCCTGGATTACTAAGTTACTAAGTCCTGGAAGCTTTTTAAACATGTAGGTCTAAGAGATTAACTCACCTCATTATTGGCCACAGTTGTGACCAAGTGACCAATAAAGGAAATGACCTTTTTTTATTTGTGCACTGGCTTCATTTTACAACACTGCAAGTTGCCACTTTCCCTGAGCATGGAGGAAACTGAGCTTATTTTTTTATTATGGCACATCCTGTCAGACTGATTCAAACACACACAGTAAATGTGTGCTTTGTTAAGACAAGGAATAATTTAATTTATGAAAACCTGTTCAAGCATAAGCACCTTATACTCTATGCTCCCTTAGTTTTTCATTTAAGCTCTCTTCAAGTTTCAGATATTTATGATTAAATTTGATATTTAAAAGGATCTCATCTTTACTGTAGGAGTAAATTCTCAGAAAAAAAAAAAGCTTTGCCGTAGAATTTTGATTAATTTAATTTCATCCCAAACTGACCCAATAAAATATAGTTGGAACAAAATTGAAAAATCCTTCATTTTAAAAAGTAAATATTCTGTCTACCACCTGTGGCTGAGGTTGTAGACTTGTAGGTGAAGACAAACTGCACAGTGTCCATCCATTCATTCTCTTCTGCTTATCCAATTCAGGGTTACAGGGGTGCTGGAGCCTATCTGAGCTACCACAGGGCGAAAGGCAGAGTACTGTATACCCCAGAAAGGTTGCCAGTGTTTGTAGGGCAACAAACAAACAACTATTCACACTAACATTCACACCTACAGGTAACGTAGACTCACCAGTTTACCTACCCCTACTAAGTGCATGACTTTATAATGTGGGAGGAAGCTGGAGTTCCCAAAGAGAACCTATGCAAACAGGAGCAGTGTAAACTCCACACAGAAAGATCCCAGAGGATCCAATACCTTCTTGCTGTGAAGCAACAGTGCTAACCACTATGTGACCATGCTTCCCAAAATTGCAAACTGTCACCAGAATATTCATTCAACAATAGACGCAAACTAGATAAAGTTTTGTTTCTTCTGAAAATGCAGGGTGAATGCCGTGTAATGGAAATTGTCTTCCGAAAACAGCTGAAGAAGCAGAACTATCTGCTAAAAAGAGGCAAAACCTGAAGGGTCACAGGTGGGATCCCGCGCCGCCCGCTATTAGAGCACCTGCTCATCCTGCGTGAGCTAAACCAGCAAGCTGAACTTGTCTGCTGACAATTGTTTTGCTATGGGTAAAATTCAAACTCACGCCTCCCGCTCTCAGAACGCCTGCTCGTATCAGTGAGCTAAAATACAACTCACCGCGGTGAGCTAAACTGGCGGCCACACTTGTAGTGTGATCCAATTCATTTCAATGGGACAAAAATATGGGAAAAAAAAGCTTTATATTTTAAAATGTATAAAAGTAATGAACACCAAAAGATAAAGGTTGCAAGAGCAGAAATGGCAGAGTATTTTAAAATTTGAATGGTGAAAATAGCACAAAAACTGTGGGAGTAGTTAAAGGCCAAGGAACGGAGCATCTAGAATAATAATAATATGAACCAGAAAAAGTTGCATTTCCTGCAAAAATTCAGTGTGAAAGCAGTGTAGCAGAAACTGATTTCCAAAACCAGCTGAAGAAGCAGAACTGTCTGCTGAAAAAACAATGTTGCCATGAGGAAGATTCGGACCTGGGCCATCCACTCTAAGGACGCCTGCTCATCTTAGTGAGCTAAAACACAGCTCACCCTGGCGAGCTAAACCGGCGATCACACGTGTATTTCAAAAAGTATAAAAGTTACGAGCACCAAAGATATAACTGGCATTAGCAGAAAGAGCAGACTTTGAATGGTTAAAGTCTCATAAAAACTGTGAGAGTAGTTAAAGAGCAAAGAAACGGAGCAACTAGAGTAATAAGGTAGAAGAACAAATATTAAAGAGAAACAGGAACTCAATAGTGTGACGGCAATCACACCATTACACACTAATTCTTTGAATGCCTACGGCATGCACACATACTGGACAGCTGCTTAGACTCAGTATGAAAGCAACATGGAGCATACACCCATGGTGGAAGGTTACTTTTAAAATGTATTCCACTACAGATTACAGATTACATGCCCCGGAATATATTTTGTAATGTATTTCATTACATTACACAATGAGAGTAACATATTCTGAATACTTTGGATTATTTAATATATTATCATGCTGTTTACAGCTACATGAATGTCCTGTTGCTGTGTGATTTATTACTATCACTGAAGGTTACTCTCCATACCAGTACCAACTAGATGTTTAAATCTTAATATAAAATGAGTAACAGTAGGTGGACATTACATGCTTCCAGCTCCCGTTTCTGCTCGGTGACAGCTCATACTTTTCTCTCCCTCCTCGCTCACAGACACATCACGGGTGTGACAGTCCATTCTCCCTGCAGCACGGACTACGCTGCCCATCAGGCTACATTCTTTAGGGCGATGCCTGTAACACTCTGCCTGTTGCCTTCATATTAAGTAATTATTTTGATTATTTTTTTAAATATTTCTTCACGCCATTATGCGGCCGTAAGTGGAGGTGACATGGGCCGCGAGATTGAGATGCAGGCATTAGAGCCTCTGTGTGTGTGTTTTGTTTCCACGGAGGTGGAAATATAG